GCGCCCCCTTTTGAGGCCCACGTGCGCCGCGTCGCCGCGTCGCGCGACCGCTTCGCCACCAAGTTCTTCCGCAGCAAGGTCGCCGACGCCGACTCGTGCCAGACGCGCGCCCCCGGCGACGAGTACGGCGTGCGCCTCGACCTCGCCGTCATGGACCGCGGGCAGCTGCACCTCGAGCACGGCGGCGCCGAGTACTACATTTGCGGGTCCGAGGCCTTCATGGCCGAGACGTCAGCCTACCTCGTCGCGCAGGGCGTCGACGAGACGAGGGTGCACTACGAGTGGTTCACGACGGGCGACCCGGAGTTCAAGCACTAGTGGGTCTTTCTGCCTGCGGAACGTTGCTTTGTCGGGGGGTTTCCTGGGCGGCGAACATTGGAGGGAGGGAAAAGGGCATGGGCTTGAGCGCGGCGTATAAAAGGGATCATGTTATTGCTGGGATATCCAGGTTCCGGCCGCTGTGGTTTTGTAGGAGACGGCGTCTTCGTTGGTGGACTGGACAGATTGTGAGACCACCTACTCAATACAAAGCAGTCACCTGTTCATGGTGACATTATTCCACGCGAAGATTTCCACATTCTTTTCTCAGACTGGATATTGAATCGCCATTCTGAATTGTGCCTGCACTTGTCTTGTCTTCCCGTCCAGCCTTGGAATATCCCCCGCTGAGCTTCGGACGACAATCCCTTGCCCTGACAATATGTCTTATGCTTTAGCATGTACGGCGTTCTCCAGAGTGATTTCCATGCTGAACAGGTGCCAAGAACGGGATTATGATCACGAGAGGACAATGGCACGCGTCTGCCGGCTCAATCCCAGGAACGTAAAAGGCGAGTCTAGAGTTTTCGATCGAGATGCGAGTACTCATACGATCTACAACACGAGTCTTGATGTCGTTCATGTCCCACATGTCGTTTACGCAGCCTTTTCAGAGCCATAGACTGGCGTCCTACGCTCTCCAGCATCTGCATCTGAAGCGACTCATCCAAGTTCCAAGGTGGCACGACGTACCCGATCGTAAAGCTGTGGTACCATGGCTGGTCCTGTCATGGTAGACTCGTCTTTCATGTTCAGGGCCTACGACCACTTTGGATTCGGCGTGACCAGGCTTCGCCGAAAATGTCCAAGAGGTCATCACTTGCCATGGAATTGTCTCTTCGATGACCGGCTTTGCTCTCCTTGGAACACGGTGGGTTGCATGTTCATCTGATGGAAATCATTTTATTCCCCCCCCCCCCTTCCCCCCCTAACAAAAAGAGGAAAAGAATCATTCTAAAGGTCTCTGGTCACTTGCCAATAGCCGAGTACTCTCCGTGTATACCTGCTGGCAGTACTCCTCGCTATGCCTGGGCCGACGACGTCCAGCATGCAGACAACGCTGTCGCCACTGTGCAGCCATGCAAGACAGACCATGACCGGTGTGAGGACTCGACCAGGGAGGGTATCTAGACGGTAGACGACACAAAGGTTCTTGCGGTGATCGGTAGTGGCGGTCATGCAGCAGCAGAGTCCCCAGGTACCTCCAGCAGAGTGCCCAGCAGAGTGGTTTATGGTATGCAGACTGCAAATGTTCAGTGCGCAGTGGTACCATCCGAAGAATGCGACTGCCATGCTGGTGATTCCCTCGCACCTGCCCCTCGTGTGATGTCGACTGGCCGCCGGCAATTGGCGGCCCCAGTCAGGTACCACCTACCTTGCCTTCCTACCTACCTGCCTAGGTACCTACCTACCTAGGTAGACGAAGGTGGATGAAGGTGCACAATGTTGGGCCCCGCAAATAAGGCGGGGAAGTCGCCCCGGCCCAGTCGTGCCTTCTCGTTATCATGCATTTGTCTCACCTACTGTCCCGAGGTGAGGGGCTCGTATACCTGCTTACCTAGGTACCTTACTAGGTATCTAAGGTAGGGAAGGGAACAGACGAACTATCTCGACTGCTGTACTGTTTGTTAACTGAACATTGATCCCATCTGCTTCATGCTAAGGCTACCAGACGCAATCACGGTCATTTGGCACACACACACACACACACACACACACACACACACACACACACACACACACCCCCTCGCCATGACCTCCACCGTGACGCCGCTGGTCTTTTACGGCCCCATCATACACTCTCGTAGCCTCGAAGAGCTGGAGATACTCGAGAATGCAACCCTCGTCATTGATGCCAGCGGCACCATCACGGCCTTCAAGAAGAGCGAGGACGATGACACGCCGATACCTGCCGTCCCCGAGGGCGCCCGAGTCCACCACCTGGGCCCTGGTGAGTTCCTGATCCCCGGCTTCATCGACACGCACAACCACGCACCGCAGTGGCCCATGCGCGGCATCGGCCAAGGGCTGCACATCCTCGACTGGCTCGACCAGGTGACGTTTCCCTTCGAGGCGCGGTTCGTCGATGCCGCCTACGCGCGCGCCCTCCTACGAGGATACCGTCGCCGACTTTCTGCGCCAGGGCATCACGACGGCCGCCTACTACAGCTCGCGCCACGCGAAAGCGACGCGCATCCTCGCCGACATGTGCGCCGAAAAGGGCCCAGCGCGCCCTCGTCGGAAGTGCAACATGGGACCGGTAATGCCCGGACTACCTCAGCGAGCCGAGCGCGCGTATCGCTGCAGGAGACCCGCGACTGCATCGCCACATCCGCGCCCTGCCCGGCTGCGGCGACCCCGAGCACGCCCTCGTCAAGCCCGTGCTGACGCCGCGCTTCCCCATCTGCTGCACGGCCGAGCTGCTCACGGGCCTCGGCGACATGATGCGCGCCGACGCGGCCGCTCGCCATGCAGACGCACTTTAACGAGGCGCAGCGGGAGGGTCGATGCCACGCGCGCCCTGTTTCCGGACCTCGCGGCACGAAGCGAAGGCGGACCTCTACGAGCACTTCGGGCTGCTGGGCCCGCGCTCGATCCTCGCGCACTGCACCGTCATGACCGACTACGACAAGGAGAGGCTGCAGGCGCTCGGGTGCGGCGTCGCCCATTGCCCAATCGCCAACATGACGGTCGGCGGCGGGTTCATGGTGGCGCCTGTGCGGGACCTGCTGCGGCGCGGCGTCAAGGTCGGCCTCGGCACCGACAGCGGCGGCGGCTGGGCATCGCAGATGCTCGCCGTCATGCGCCAGGCCGTCATTGCGTCCAACGCGCGCGAGGTCACGGACGCCGCCGACGAGGCGCTCACGCTCGACGAGGTCTTCTACCTGGCGACGCTCGGCGGCGCGCGCGTGCTCTGCCTCGAGCACCTCGTCGGCAGCTTCGCCGTGGGCAAGCAGTTTGACGCGTCGTGGGTGGCGGCGACGAGCGGGCTGCGGTCGGCCATGACGCCGCGCGAGGACGACGACGGGCTCCGGAGGCTCTTTGAGAAGTTTGTCATGACGGGCGACGATCGGAACATGGCGCACGTCTATGTCCGAGGACGGAGGGTCGCGGGCGCGCGGCATGGAGAGGCCTCATGATGACCTGCTCGAGCCTCCGATGCTCAGACATCGTGGCCAGGTCTGTGGGCCCCAAGATGAGGGATTGTCACCCATTTCGGGATGAAATATTGTCAACCATTCCGGCTGAGTTTCTCAGGGCGCAACGTGATACTGCCGCGCCATGGCAAAATGACAAGCGCATGGCCCCCCGCTAACATGCTATTGATCTTTCTCCCGCGCCGGGCGACACTCCGCCGTGGAGACCCGCGTCCCCCGATCACGGCCAGCGCCCATTGGCGCGGGTAAAGAAACCGGCTAAAAAGAATAAAAAAGAGAATAGGCGGGCCATTAGCGGCGCACAGAAGGTCGTCCCGGCGCTGTGGCGCCCTCAGGGAGCGGAACCTCCAGTGGGTCCTTGGGGGTTCACCACAGGGGGCAGCTCCAGCACCTGCGCCATGCTGGCAACGGGAAACGACTGTACCCCACCAACGTCAGGGCCCCCGCATAGCATTCTCCGCCGTCACGAGGGGGGACGCGCTTGAGTTGTAGGGAGCTGTCCATCGGTGAGGGAGGTCTCGGGGCTTTTTTCTTTCTTCTGTTTTCTTTTCTACCGGCCGATACTGAAAACATCTCATTTGGTCGCTTGCTCGAGAGTGGAGAGGCTTTGGTTCGAGGGCTGGAAGGGTCCATGTTGAGAAGGGGGCAGGTTCAGAAGCAGGCGCATGTGGTCGAGACGAGGAAGGATGAGGGGCACCTCGTTCTTGCCAGTGACCTACCTACCCCTCCATCCCCTCATCGTGACCTCAACCTATTTTCATAACCCCGTTCCTCTTGTCTCTTCTTTCCTTTCTTTCCCTCTCTCTCTCTTCTTCCTGTTTCTTCCAAACAATTGATCCTATACCTGATACCCAAATCCATCTTCTCCAGCTCGTCATAGCTCCAAACCACACAACTAACCCTCACCTCTCCCGAAATCCCAAACGCCACCCGGCCATGTCTTCCAACCTCTCCTTCGTCCTCAACAAGGTCCACGACGTCTCCTTCGAGGAGCGCGAGGTGCCCAAGATCACGTCGGAACACGATGTTCTCGTCGCCGTCAACTACACGGGCATCTGCGGCTCCGACGTCCACTACTACGACCACGGTGCCATTGGCCACTTTGTCGTCAAGGACCCCATGGTGCTCGGCCACGAGTCTGCCGGTACCATTGTCGAGGTCGGCTCGGCCGTCAAGACGCTCGTCAAGGGCGACCGCGTGGCCCTCGAGCCCGGCTACCCGTGCCGCCGCTGCGCCGACTGCCTCGCCGGCAACTACAACCTCTGCCACGAGATGGTCTTCGCCGCGACGCCCCCCTACCACGGCACCCTGACCGGCTTCTGGGCCGCCCCCGCCGACTTTTGCTACAAGCTGCCCGAGAACGTGTCCCTGCAGGAGGGCGCCCTCATCGAGCCCCTCGCCGTCGCCGTCCACATCACACGCCAGGCCGCCGTCACGCCCGGCGCCTCCGTCGTCGTCATGGGCGCCGGCCCCGTCGGTCTCCTCTGCGCCGCCGTCTCGCGCGCCTTTGGCGCCACCAAGGTCGTCTCGGTCGACATTGTCCAGTCCAAGCTCGACATGGCCCGCGACCTCGCCAGCACCCACACCTACCTCTCGCAGCGCCTGCCGGCCGAGGAGAACGCCGCGGCCCTCAAGGCCCAGTGCGGCCTCGGCAAGGGCGCCGACGTTGTCATTGACGCCAGCGGCGCCGAGCCCAGTATCCAGACGAGCCTGCACACGGTGCGCATGGGCGGCACCTACGTCCAGGGCGGCATGGGCAAGGCCGACATCAACTTCCCCATCATGGCCCTGTGCCTCAAGGAGGTCACCGCCAAGGGCAGCTTCCGCTACGGGCCCGGCGACTACAAGCTCGCCATCGACCTCGTCGCCAACGGCAGCGTCAATGTCAAGAAGCTCATCTCCGAGGTCGTGTCCTTCCAGGAGGCCGAGGACGCCTTCAAGAAGGTCAAGCAGGGCCAGGTCATCAAGGTCCTCATCAAGGGCCCCAACGAGCAGTGAGCGGAGGGCAACAGGCGATGGGTAGAGAGATGCTGGGTTGGACGAAAAGCGTCGGCAGCGGCGAGGCGTTGTATTCTGGACTCGAGGTTTTGCGTGGCATGGTATCTGGCGACTGAGCATGATGGTTGGGCATGATGACTGGACTCTTGTTTACAATAGCGATATCCCTGAAAAGTACGTTTCATCTACATTGGCTACGACAACGTGCCTTCTTTGTGTTGTGTTCGTGATCCTCACGCATCTCCCGGTCCTCATGATGCATATCGTCTATTCGTATGGAGTATCATCTAGGTCTCACACCCCCGCACCAGCCTCAGTCCAGCATGCCCAGGTACCGCGTCTCAATTTTCGTGTCCGCCTTGGCCCCCGTCACGGGAATGACGACAACTTCACCGGGGACAATGTCGACGAGGTTGTCGCCAAAGACGACTTCGTCGTCTTCGCACTCGAGCGCCAGGCCCTTGATCGGCACCTCGGCGCTGACTTCGACGACGGTGTTGTCCCTCGCCAGCTTGGCCACGAGCTGCTTGGGCTTCTGCAGGTGCAGATACTTGAGCGGCTCCGGCCAGTTGACGTACCTCGCCAGCTGCTTGCCCTCCCCGTCGACGAGGTACGCCGCCACAACGATGCGGCCCTCCTCCCCCTTGTGCCGCACGGGCACCTCAAAGTCGGTAATCTCGGTCGACGCGTTCTTCGGCAGCACGAGCCCCTCCTTGGCCTTCTCGTTGTACGTCTCCTTCGGGCCGTTCTTCGGACGTCCCACCCCTTGACGATGACATCGACAGTCAGGTCCTCGAGCTGCAGGTTCGAGCCCCAGACCTCAATCTTGGTCTTTGTGTCAATGTTGACCCGCGTGTACTTGTCCTTGGGGTGCTTGTGCTCGCGACGCGTAATGCCGATCGACAGCGGCGCCATCTCTCGCTTGACCGTGTAGTAGGCATGCTTCGGCCGGAGATAGTAGTCGCAGATAGCCCACGATGTGACGGGCCAGCAGTCGTTGATCTGCCACACGAGCGCGCCGCCGCAGTACTCGCGGCCCGGCCCTCGCCACTCTCGCTTCCACAGCCGGTAGGCCGACGCAAGACACTCGGCCTGCATCAGCTGCGTGCAGTACACAAAGTGTTCAAGAGGATCGGGGGCGTAGCGGAAGTTCTCCACGAGGTAGAGGGCGATGCGGCGCTCGTGGCCATCGGCCTTGTTGTGGAAGTCGACTGTGGACGACTGCGGGTAGCGGTCAGGGTCGTCGCGGCCCTTGGGCAAGAAAGCATCGATCGTCTTGACCGACGGGAAGGCCTCCATGCCGAATTCGGAAACGAAGCGGCCGACGAGCTTGTCAAAGTTTTGATACTTCTCCTGCGTGCCGTGCCAGACGTTCCACTGGTGCAGGTCACCAACGGTGGGGTCGCGCGTGTCAGCGCCGCTCCAGGGGCTGCCAAAGTGGTAGAATGTGTCAGGAATGAGACTGGCGCAGACGTCGGCAAGAACCTTTTCGTAGATGTAACGGGCGGGGAAGTCCGTCTTGAGCCAGCTATCGGGGTCCTTGTCGTTGATGTCATATGTCAGGTTCTCCGACTCGGCGAACTGGTAGTCTTCGTTGTTGCCCGCCCAGATGACGATCGAAGGATGGTGACGCAGCAGCTTCACGTTCTCTTCAGCCTCACGCTTGATCGAGTCGAGCAGCGCGGGCCAGGCGGGGTAGTTTCCACAGCCAAACATGAAGTCATGCCAGACGAGAATGCCGAGCTCGTCGCAGACATCGTAAAAGGCCTGCTCCTCATAGATACCTCCGCCCCAGACACGCACCATGAACTGGTTGCCGTCGGCCAGGAGCTTCATCCAGGCACGGTAGCGCTCCTTGGAGATACGGGGAATGAAGTTGTCGGCAGGAATCCAGTTGCTGCCACCGCAGAAGACGGAAATGCCGTTGACGCGGAAGAAGAAGGACGTGCCAGGCTGCTCCTTCAGAGGGTCCTGCACCAGCTCGACCTTGCGAATACCAATGTTCTTGGTGACGTGGTCAACCTCGTCTTGGCCGTCGACAAGTGTGGCCTTGACAGTGTAGAGGGGCTGCTTGCCGTAGCGGACAGGGTACCACAAGGCCGGCTCGTTGATCTCAAAGGTGGCCTTGGCATCAGCGGTCTCAGAGGCGTCGACGAGCTGAGAGGCCACCGAGCTGCCGTCCAGAGACACTTCGAAGCGGATCTTGGAGGCCTTGCCCTCGGTCTTTGCATGAACCACGAGCGTGGCCGACTTGTACGAGTCGTCAATGGTCTGGTCAAAATGAAGGTCGACGATGCGCGAATCGTAAATCTCTAGGTTGATGGGCCTCCAGGGGCCACATGTCAGGAGCGTCGGGCCCCAGTCCCAGCCCCAGTGGTACTGGGCTTTGCGAACGGCGAGCCTTGAGTTATCACCGTTCCAGCACCCCCACTTGTGATCCGGGTGCTCCTCGACGCGCTTCCAGCCACGCAGGTACGCGCTGTCAAAGTGAATCTGGAGCTCATTGTTGCCCTCGGCGTTGAGCTTGTCAGTGACGTCGACGCGCTCAGGGATGAACATGTTGTCCGTTTCGAGAATAGTAGAGCCGTTCAGCTTGACAGTGGCAAAGGTGTCGAGGCCATCAAAGGCGAGGACGGCCTTTTGGCCGGCGCTGAGCTTGGGGGACGCGAAACTTGTGCGGTAGAGCCATTGGGCCTCGCCGATCCATTGGACATCAAGCTCATTCTTGCCGATGAATGGGTCGGGGATGATCTTATGGGCGATGAGGTCGAGGTGAACATTGGTGGGGAATTGGCTGACGGAAAGGAACTCGGAGTCGTCTTTGTCGGCCTGGCGGAACTGCCAATCCTTATCGACGGGGATGACGCTGCGTGCCATGTTGCGTGGCAGCAAGATGAGCATGACAGGTAGAGGACCGTCAAGGAAACTTGAGGTCGAGTTCAAGGTCGAGGTTATCGTGCTCTAAAGGTCGGCGAGTTGTAAGGTAGGCAGTCACAAGAAGGGAAGCTACCCCAAGTGATGTTCCTGGCTAAAATAGCTGAGAGGGGAAACAGGGGGAAGCAGCAGTGAGGGGTCGGCGGGCAGCTCCTGCGTGATGACGGAAAGAGGGGCAGAAGGGGGACAAGATGCCCGTGAGAGGAAATGTACAAGGGAGGAAGAGCGGCAGGAAGTCTGAATTGGTTCGTCCAACTGGCCATCGACCATTGCTCAGCGACAGAAGGGGACGCAATATATATCGACGTGCCCTGAAATACCCACCCAGACATCAGTGCGCGCCTCTGCCGAACGAGCTATTCCGTCTGCTCAACGGGACGACATCCGCCGAGATGCATCTCGAAAGACGTCGCTCCAAAAGGCCACCAGCTCCACTGGGACGCAGCGTGTCGGGGTCCAGCTGCAGGGATCGCCCTCCACGTGCGAGGCGTTGGTTGATGCTTCAATTGGGGTTTGGGGGCTGGAATCTGTCAGGCGGCTGGTAGTCCAGCAGGACTTTCGGGTTCGGGAACGGACTGGAATGCCACCCAGTTGGACGGCTCGTCCGGGCCAGGAGTGCGCCTCCCAGCAACAAAAACATCGGCTGACGACCGGCACTGGTTCCTATTCGCGACAGGAACAAGAGAGGCTACTCAGTATCAAACCGGCTTCCTTCCTAGAGCCCTATGCAGAACGTCCTGACAGCAACGCCCGCCTGCGCCAGTCCATCGGCTCGCACCCCGCAGCACCCCGCAGGGCCTTAACCGCGGAAGAGGGCCCTCCGTGTTGCCTCTTGTGGCATGGTTTCTTCCATCCGCCCTCGCTAGCCGCCGCCGACCCCACCGAGGCCGAGGGGATATCGCGGCGGAGGCTACGGATTTCGATCTTGATGCATGGTATGGACATGGACATGGACATGGCGTGGTCAGCTTGACTTATCACCGTCGTACGTCTTGTGACTGACTGGCACTGGCTGGGAAACAGTGTGACGTGACAACGGTCGCAGCGAACGACTCTTCAGTCCACAAATGCGGAAGCTCCGCCACCGACCACCGGCAAGGTGTGATGGCGGGTGATTTGTGGATATTCTGCCGTCAGGTCCAACTCGGACATACCAGCATGCATCAGCAACTCTTGAGCCAGGAAAATTTCTATGTATCATTAAGTGTACCTATTTGGAGAACAGTCAAGAGCCGCCCGGGCCGAATTCCCTTCATCCTCAAATTCCTATCCGAAACGCCATGCCATCTACAAAAGCGAGCGTTGTGTGGTCTCTAGCTTCGAGACATGAATAAGGCAATAGAAACGCCGGACTCCCGCTTGTGCCACAAAAAGACCAAAAAAAAAAAAAGAGAGAAGGAAAAGAAGAAAACACAACGAGCATCCCTCCATCACATTATCACGGCACCCACAGCTTCGGTCAGCAGCAGCCCCCTCCCCGACGTCTGTTGTTGCTGCTCAGCGTGAAGACTTCCTCCCACTCTCGCAAGCCGCCCCAGTTGGTGTTCCCGCCGCGTCCTCGGCCCTTACCCTTGCGTCGCCTCATGCCCGTCTCGTCGAGCGTCGCCGCCGGCATGGAGATCTTGATAGTGGTTCCGGCGGTGGCTCCGTCAAAGGGGGCCGCGTTTTACATTTCGCCGAATCCGCCTCCGCTCCGGGGGGTGGTTCGGCGCCACGCCCGGGTGGTTTTTTTTTT